AAGGGGCTGAGAAATGAAATGAACTTGCCCAAGATCTAGTGAGTGGAAGATACAGCTGGGATTTGAAACCAAGGAGGTTCAGCTCCAGAACCCTCCCTCTTAATCACTGTGCTGGACTGCTGGGCCCTTCAGGGGGTACAGGGCGGGGAGGGGGTGGACTATCATTCACGTTTCCTTAGAATCACAGGACTGAGGAACAAAAATGAATGAACTGAATCCTCGTCCAACCTGTAAAATAGGGAACACGCTAGAAGGATATGAAAAAGAATCCAAGTGTTCTTACATTTAAAAGATGGAGAATAATTTATTTAAGGAGATGAGGCATACATTTGAAAAGCAAACACATAGTACAAGGGTAGACTCCAATAAGTATTATGGGAGTTCTTCTGTTGATTGATTCCTTCTGTCAAAGAGAAGACAGGTCGATTCCATCTGTTAAAGGTGGCCTTTTCAGAGGACCTTTTCACAGACTGGTCTTTAAAGAATGTGTAAGATTTAGGTGTGTGGGTAGAAAATCCCTCTCTGGGTAGCAGGATTGGAGAGAGCAAGCTCTCACAGCTGGGAGAGCCTGAGGAATACTTGGGTGATCGTGCAGCTACCAGTTTAGCTTATGCAAAAAAAATGGAGCCTTGAGAACAAATTGAGGAAGGGTAGTTCCAAGTGAAAGACTGTGAACGTCAATGTTGAAATACCTGGGGTGACACAGGACGTATGATGAATTTAAAACCTGGAAATCTGGATGTTGCAAGATCTTTTTTATGTTTTCTTAGTAACAGTCCTGCATGCTAATATGTTCCTGACAGAGACCTTTTAGGAAGCTTATTTGTCAAATAGGACACGTAGGAGCAACAAATAGGACAGACAGTGCAAGAGAAGATTCACCCAGCCTTGATGACCAGTAGATGGGAAAGAGAGGAGGTACAGTTGGCGATTTAGCTCCTGGATGACCAGGAGGACTGTGAAAGTCCCCTTTCTCCTTGACCCAATGACATTTTTTTTTAATTGAAATATAGTTGATTTACAATATTGTGTTAGTTTTAGGTATACAGCACAGTGATTCAGATATATATCTATATATCTCTCTATATATGTTCTTTTTCAATATTACAAAATATTGAGTAGAGTTCCTTGTGCTATACAGTAGGTCCTTGTTTGTTATCTCTTTTATATATAGTAGTATATATATGTTAATACCAAACTCCTAATTTATCCCTCCCTGCCCCCTTTCCCCTTTGGTAACCGTAAGTTTGTTTTCTACGGCTGTGGGTCTATTTCTGTTCTGTAAATAAGTTCATTTGTATCTTTTTTTTTTTTAGATTCCATGTATAAGCAATATCATATGATGTTTGTCTTTCTCTGCCTGACTTACTTCACTTAGTATAATCATCTCTACGTCCATTCATGTTGCTGCAAATGACATTTCATTCTTTTTTTTGATGTTCAGTACACAGAACATTTTCTTTTTTCTCTTTATTTTTTATTAAAATTTAGTTGATTTACAACTTTGTGCTAGTTTCAGGTGTACAGCAAAGTGATTCAGTTATATATATATATATATATGTATATTCTTTTTCAGATTCTTTTTCCATATAGGTTATTACAAAATACTGAGTGTAGTTCCCTGTGCTATACAGTAGGTCCTTGCTGTTTACCTGTTTTATATACAGCAGCATGTATAGGTTACTCCCAAATTCCTAATTTATCCCTCCCACCCCGTTCCCCTTTGGTAACCATAAGCTTGTTTTCTATATCTCTGAGTCTGTTTCTGTTTTATAAATAAGTTCATTTGTATCTTTTTTTTTAGATTACACATATAAGTGATATCATATGGTATTTGTCTTTCTCTGTCTGACTTCACTTAATCGCTAAGTCCATCTATGTTGCTGCCAATGGCATTATTTCATCCTTTTGTATGGCTGAGTAGCATACCATTGTATATATGTACCATATCTTCTTTATCCATTCATCTCTCGATGGACATTTAGAATGCTTCCATGTCTTGGTTATTGTAAATAGTACAATACTGGGGTGCATGTATTTTTTCAAACTACGGTTTTCTCTGGATACATGCCCAGGAGTGGGGTTGCAGGATCACATGGTAGCTCTATTTTTAGTTTTTTAAGGAACCTCCAAAAAAAAAAAAAAAAAAAAAAACCCCAAGACTCCCCTGGTGGGGTGCAGTGGTTGGGAGTCCACCTGCCGATGCAGGGGACATGGGTTTGTGCCCTGGTCCGGGAAGATCCCACATGCCGTGGAGCGGCTGGGCCTGTGAGCCATGGCCGCTAAGCCTGTGCGTCCGGAGCCTGTGCTCTGCAACGGGAGAGGCCACAGCAGTGAGAGGCCCGCATACCGCAAAAAAAAAAAAAAAAAGGAACCTCCATACTGTTCTCCACAGTGGCTGTACCAATTTACATTCCCACTAACAGTGCAAGAGGGTTCCTTTTACTCCACACCCTCTTCAGCATTTGTTATTTGTAGACTTTTTAATGATGGCCATTCTGACCAGTGTGAGGTGATACCTCACTGTAGTTTTTTTTTTTTTTTTGCGGTACGCGGGCCTCTCACTGTTGTGACCTCTCCAGTTGTGGAGCACAGGGTCCAGACGTGCAGGCTCAGCGGCCATGGCTCACGGGCCCAGCCACTCCGCAGCATGTGGGATCTTCCTGGACCGGGGCACGAACCCGTGTCCCCTGCATCGGCAGGCGGACTCTCAACCACTGAGCCACCAGGGAAGCCCCTCACTGTAGTTTTGACTTGCACTTTTCTAATAATTAGCGATGTTGAACATTTTTTCATGTGCTTGTTGGCCATTTGTTGTCTTTGGAGAAATGTTTGTTTATATCTTCTGCCAATTTTTTGATTGGATTGTTTTTTGATATTGAGCTGTATGAGTTATTTGTATATTTTGGAAATTAATCCCCTGTCGGTCTCATTGTTTGCAAATATTTTCTCCCATTCTGGAGGTTGTCTTTTCATTTTGTTTATGGTTTCCTTTGCTGTGCAAAAGCTTTTAAGTTTAATTAGGGCCCATTTGTTTTTGTTTTTATTTCCATTACTCTAGGAGACAGATCCAAAAAGATATTGCTGTAATTTATGTCAAAGAGTGTTCTGCCTATGTTTCCCTTTAGGAGTTTTATAGTATCTTTTCTTACATTTAGGTCTTTGATCCATTTTGAGTTTATTTTTGTATATGGTATTAGAGAATGTTCTAATTTCAAGCTTTTACATGTAGCTGTCCAGTTTTCCCAGCACCTCTTATTGAAGAGATTCTTTTCTCCATTGTATATTCTTGCCTCCTTTGTCATAGATTAATTGACCATAGGTGCATGGGTTTATTTCTGGGCTTTCTATCCTGTGCCACTGAACTATATGTCTGTTTTTGTGCCAGTACTAAACTGTTTTGATTACTGTAGCTTGGTAGTATAGTGTGAAGTCAGGAAGCCTGATTCCTCCAGCTCTGTTCTTCTTTCTCAAAATTGCTTTGGCTATTCGGAGTCTTTTTTATTTCCATACAAACTGTAAAATGTTTGTTCTAGTGCTGTGAAAAATGCCATTGGTAATTTCATAGGGATTGCATTGATTCTGTAGATTGCCTTGGGTAGTATAGTCATTTAACAATATTGATTCTTCCAATCCAAGAACATGGTGTATCTTTCCATCTGTTCATGTCATCTTCAGTTTCTCTCATCAGTGTCTGACCACTGACTTTCATAGTTAGGGAAGATGATGTTAGGACTGACTTTCTTCTAATTATGTAGTAAGTAAGTAGTTACATAAATAAATGCTCAATGATAATGATATCTGCCCATATGGAGAGCAAATCACCAGGATCGTACTTCTAAAGTTTACAGTGCTCAATACCTAGAGCTGTGTTTGACCCTTCCAAACACATTTATTCATTAATTCAACCAAACATTTAAGCCTCTGCTTGGCACCAGGCTCCATGCCAGTCACCAAGGAAGGACACGGTGGACAAGACATTGGCCACAACTTCAAGGGGTTTTCCAGAGTCTAGTTTTGGAGAGAGACAAGTCAGCAGGTGATTTTAACATGGCTTGACAAGTGTCGTGAGTGGTTGGCAAGGTGATCACATATACCTACTTGTCAGGGATAGTCTCAGTTTGGATGATTAATTATCATTACCCCCACCCCCCACCATTTTAGGAAATGGGGTTAGTACGCAAAGGTAACACAAAGGAATGACATTTAATGCAGTATTAGGAGGGGGGAGATAGAGGGCTTTGTGGAGAAAATCCGTGTCAGCTGATACCTGCAGGTAAGGAATTGTGTGAAGGGTTGGGGGGAAAGGTGAACATTCCTAGCAGTGTTTGCAGGTTGAATGAATAAATTAGTGAACAAATGAGAAATTGTGAATGTGCAAGCACAGAACATTTCAATTCCTGATCAAGCATCTATAATCATTTGATGTTTATATATAGCATTTCTTCCAGATTTTGGAAGGGAAATCTCATGAAAAATAGAATTTTACCCCTTTTCTAAAATAAAGAGATTGGACTGGATAATATCTTGACTTAGTTTAATTTGCTGTGTTATGTCAGAGAAAGGGACACTTAATAATATGGTCTCATAGCTTTCATGCTATACTACATAAGATTACACCCCAAACCACCTGCTGCTGGAGAATGAAAAATGGTCTTTAAAGTCCATCTGATTCTCCCTTTCCCCCGCTAGGTAGCCACTTAATTATTTTTCATTTATTCTATTCTTCAACTTGTTTGAAGGCTTCTTGAAGGCAGAGGCCATATCATTATTTTTTATCTCCCATTCTGTACATATTGCCTGGTGATGACTGAGAGATTGATGAGGGGGAGGTAGAGGGATCCTTTCTCTTTTGAAAGGGAGGTGGTCTTATTATCCCTGTCACCAAATACTCTTTCTCATTCAGCTTCCCAAGGCATTTTAATTCTGTGACTATAATTTTTTGTTAATGGTTAGTTTTGAACTATTTTTGATGGACATCTTGCTTTCCTCTTCTTTAGGACCTTCTGAGTTATTGGATATGGCAGACAGCGAAACGTGAGTGTTGCCTTACATTATGTGGTCTAGATTATCTTCTTGAGAACATATCTAGGAAAAGAATGCAGCCTCTAGGGCATACAATTGATAATTGTAATGTCAGTGATAAAAAGTGTCTACTTTCAGTTGTATTTATAACTGTGCAGGGCTAATCTTCTAAATCAGAGAATACACAATAAAAATAGATGGTACCTGTCATGATGATTGCACATGTAGCTGTTGCTGGTCACCATTTAGAACCTCCTTCAAGTGAGGTACTTCTGCTTTGATGCACCTTGAACTACAGAGAAGTCTAAATTAATGCACTTACCTCTTAATTACCCATCACATTTACTCTTCCTCAAGTGAGGTTTATAAGAAAAGTAAGCCCTAATGCCCTAAGGCATCCTTTTTGTATAGTGAAACAATTTCTCTGTGCTGAGTCTAGATGGGACAAGTTATACAACCACTGGAGAACCAAGAACATAGTACCTCCAACCATTTCCATGTTTTGTGCTTCAGAAGAGAAACCCTGGTTGAGAAAGTCACCAGCTCTGTGGATGGTTGCCAGACTGATAATGTTTTCAACTTTCTCATTCCCAAGCGCCAAAATAGCTACTGTTCCCCAAACAGAAACAAGAAAAGCTAAGCATTTAACCCTGGAAGCCATGTTGAGCCTCTAAAGAACGCCAGTGAAATTGAAAAGGGATAAAGAGTGGGCAGGGTGGAGTGTGGGGAGGGGCTAAGGAGAGATGGAGGAGGACAAGTAGGAAGGATTTAAGCAGGATTTACTGACAAGGGAGAAACTGTCCCTTGCTACATAGAGTTTGTCCACGTACCGCAAATCCCATTGGCAAGGTTATCACTCACCCCAGTTTGCCTAAGGACTGCATTTGATTTTCCATAAACACTTTGGCATTAAGTGTCTTTTCAATTTCAGACTCAGAATGGGAATGTCCTCCTCCCTGTACTGCCTGTGGGGGGTGGGGGAAATAGCCACTTTGCCTTGACTGTTCCCCATACTGATGGCTGACCTGCTGCCCAGTGGGGCAGCTGTGGTTGCGGAACCCTCCCAGAGTCTTACCATCCCTCCCAGGTATCTTCTGTGGCTGTCCCCCTCCTGCCACCTGCCACTCACCAGGAATCAGCAGGTAGAGCAGAGTGGGTATCTCCTGGGTCTTTGAAGTTGGGTTCCCAGGAGATACTCCTCCCGGGGCCAGATGGTCTACCAAGCACTGTGCTGTGGTCCTCCATCGCTGCTCCTGTGCGTGCACCATCTAGGTGGCTCCTGCCCTGCCCACATGACTACACAGAGAGAGTGGCTCCACACTGTTCAGACACATCTACACCCATCAGTCTATTTCATAGGGCCATTGGGTATTACTTAAATCAGACAGTAGTTGCTTAAAACAAAATCACTCAGCCTACTTGACCAGCCAACACTGTTTGAAAAAGAGGCTGGAGTCAGATATGAGGGTTGGTGGATGACTAAGCCCCTCACCTACCTCCCCTGGCCATGCCCTGCAGCCGTGGTCTCACCCACAGATGATAGGGAAAGCGGCCGAGGGGCACAGAACATGAGCAGCAGGGGGAGGATGCTACGCTCACTTCCCTCCCTGCTGCCTCTACCCTACTCTCACTCCTGCCTCCAACCCTTTTCTCATTTCATCTTTGATTTAGGGGTGAGACCGCACTGCACAAGGCAGCTTGCCAGCGGAACCGGGCTGTGTGCCAGCTTCTGGTGGACGCAGGAGCATCTCTGAGAAAGACGGACTCCAAGGTAACTTGATGAGTGAGTGCAAGCATCCTCCCACGGGGCAAGATCTCTGGCACCATTGCCTTCACTTGTGCCCGTAGCAAAGGCATCCTTTCTGTACTTATGGAAGTGCCTGGGGCTTTGGAAAAAGGAGGGAAAAAATGAAGTGTTTCATTTAGAGAAACTGCAGTTTAAATGTATAAGCACAAAGGGAGGGTGTGTGCTTGCCGAAGGGACTTATAGACCTCTGAACGCGTTGACCTTTGGACTTTGGGCTTCTGCTGGCTGCCAGCAGCCAAGTGTGGAGAGGGTGAGGTGCAATGCACGAGAAGGGTAGGGACCAGGTGCAAAAGATATTGGCCTGGCTACCGAGAAGCCCCTTGGGAATTTCTCCTTCAGCTACTTAATCCAGAATAGCTTAAAACCCATGATTTATGTGGCCCCGTATATGGGTGCCAGAGTGATGACCAATCGCTCCCAGGATGGGAGATCAGGCTGCACCATGAATTGCTCCGGTTTACAGAGAGCATCCAAGGAAAGGGTCAAAGCTGCAGTAAAGGAGGGTTAGGGTGCTGTTGACCGAGAACTGCAGCCCATGGGAAAGAGGTGGGCAGAGAGAAGAGTTCATACAGAAGATCAACCCGAGAGAGGACTTCTCTGTGATGATCTGAGGTCATGATCATGGTCAGCTCTGAGGGTTTTAAAGCACCCTGGGTAGGCTCCAAGAAAGGACAAGCCACTTAACTGTAGAAGGTTACAGAGAAGAATTTTAATATATAGATGAGGATTTCATTAAGTGGGTACTAAATAACCTAAGTTTGGGGTCAGTGAATGTAGCCAAGAAACAGAGACAAATTACTTAGAAGCCTACTGATGACTTCAGCCCCATTAGATTCATTTAAGTGATGAGCCCCTACTTATATGCAGTCTTCACCCTGGGGTCTCCTCCAACTGCAGTGTACATTGTGACATGTGGACCTTTCTTTCCTTTCTGAGCCAGTTCTGAGCCAGGTGCATTGCTTGATTCTCCACTTTCCTTGCGACCCACCAGATCCTTGCTCTCTGACTGAGGTCCCTGGCTGCCTTAATTCTGATAGCACTAGGCTATCAGATTCATTAAGCTGGGTCCTGGTTTCTAGCTGGTCTGTTACCTAATTGGGTGTAGGATTCCAAATGGCAGATAATTATTCACTGTGATAGTCTTCCCAGATGATATTTGCACTTAGGTGCTTTGATGTGTAACCTGATTGAGAAACACAACCCATGGTAGGACCAGCTGAGGCCATGATCCGAGGTGGACTTGGCCTTCCTTGCTGGGGCCGCTCAGACACAGCAGGGCCATTGCCTGTTTACCACACAGAGACTGGCCTCAACTCAGGTGATAAAACAGAAGGGAGGAACAAGACGAAATACAGGGACGAATAAAAGACTGGCCAGGAAACCCGGCCCCAGAGCAGATGGCTCTTTTTTTTTTTTTTTTTGCGGTATGCGGGCCTCTCACTGTTGTGGCCTCTCCCATTGCGGGGCACAGGCTCCGCACGTGCAGGCTCAGCGGCCATGGCTCACGGGCCCAGCCGCTCCGCGGCATGTGGGATCTTCCCAGACCAGGGCACAAACCCGTCCCCTGCATCGGCAGGCGGACTCTCAACCAGGGAAGCCCAGATGGCTCTTTTTTAATCTAAGTTTCTGAATCAAATAAATGGGCTCAATGTTCCTTGAGATTCCTTTCTATGTTGTGTTACATATGTATGTGCTCTTTCCAAATGCAAAAAAATTTATTACTTTTATGATAAATATAGTGCATTCTCACATAGAAAACTCTAGCAATGCAAAAAAAAATTTTTTACGTAAAAATTACTAGAAATCCCACAATCTAGACCTATATACCATTAAAACTTTAATGATTTCTCCCCACACGTGGGTACGTCTACTTTTCTCATTTTCTTCAAGTAGGTAAAGTCATACTGTACATGCTATTGTATAAACTTTCACCCAACATTTTGTTTTATAGATCCTACCTCATGAAGTAAGAGCTTCATCCTTTTCAGGGATCCTATAATTTTTCCATTCCATAATTTTTTGCTAGGTGAAAGCTGAATATGATAATTATGACTGGTTCTTCTGGAAATTTTTGAAGAGAAGCAATATTTTGAGAATTTCTCTTAATAGGGAATGGCTCCTTAAAAATCAACTCAGAGGCCCACCCCAGTCCATCTCTCTGAATATTTGGAAATTGGGAATCCCAACCTCCTTAACATTGAAGACAAGATAATCTACAAATACTGTAACCAAGTTGAATAAAATTAATTATTATAGGAACTTGAAGCTATGGTTAAATATTAAATCCCAACTAAATAAGTAAAATTTTAGAGTCTAGAGCCATTGTTACTTCCCTTCTATCTTCTACTCCATATCCCCTTGTAGGCTACTAGGATCAGCCTTAATTGAGTTTGATACCACCCATTGCAATAGATGAGATGGAAGCTGAGAAGTGTTTGATAATTTTTGTAATGCTTGTGTGCATTTTTATACGTGGAGCTATTACTTTGGTGCAATGGTCATGCCTCTACCCTTTCCTTAGAACTCAGTAACATTTTGTACATATATACAATGGAATATTACTCAGCCATAAAAAATAACGAAATAATGCCATTCGCAGCAACATGGATGGACCTAGAGATTGTCCTACTGAGTGAAGTAAGTCAGACGCAGAAAGACAAATATCATATGATATCGTTTATATGTGGAATCTAACAACATGGTACAAATGAACCTATTTACAAAACAGAAATAGAGTCACAGTTGTAAAAAACAAACTTATGGTTACCAAGGAGAAAAGGGAGGGGTAAATTGGGAGATTACGATTGACATAGACACACTACTAGGTATAAAATAGATAACTAATCAGGACCTACTGTTTAGCACAGGGAATTCTACTCAGTACTCTGTAGTAACCTGTATGGGAACAGAATCTAAAACAGTGGATATATGTATACGTATAACCGATTCACTTTGCTGTACAGCAGAAACTAACACATTGTAAATCAACTATACTCCAATAAAAATTGATTTTAAAAAACAATATTTTAAAATAGATATCACTGAACAAAAATTAGAAGCGTCAAGGAGTGTGAAGTAATGTCTGTAAACATTCAAAAGAATGGAGACCTTTCCTCCTTTTACTGCTGACTGCTGTTCATTGGCCTCATTTCAAAAATACTGTGTGCATATAAATATACATATAACATAATAGACTGCAAAAAGTTACACAATCATTTAAAATGATGCAGAAGAACATTTCGTGACGTAGAAAGGTTTGATATATTATTAAGTGCAAAAGCACATTACCTAACAGTATGTAAACAAAGTATGTTTTTATTTTCATAAAAATAATTATGCATAGAGCTATAGAAAAAGATAAAATAGTTACTCTATGGAAGGTTAACAGCAGTTATCTTACTATAGTGGAATTACTGGTGATTTTTATTTTCTTATGCTTTTCTACTTTCCCAAGATTTTTTTTTTTCTGGTACTTTTTTTTTTTTTAAACATCTTTATTGGAGTATAACTGCTCTACAATGGTGTGTTAGTTTCTGCCTTATAACAGAGTGAATCATCTATACATATACATATACATATACATACGTCCCCGTATCCCCTCCCTCTTGCTTTCATCAACACCCATCACTTTTATTGTCAGAAATTAACTTACTTTTTGGAGAGATAAGACAGTTCTAAATTGGGGAGAACCTAACTAACTGACCACTTCGAAACCAACAAAGAAACCCCTTTCGATTGTTTCTGACCATCCCTCCCTCTTTGTTTCTGCTTGTTACTGCCCAGGGTTTAGTATAACAGAAAGAGTTCCAAACTAGAAATCAGAATGCCCGTTTCCCTGCTTTTCTGTTCAGTGATTTCTGTCCCCCTTCCAGAAAGGATCTGGGTTCCCAAACTCACTGTGCCACGCAGTTCGCTGCTGTGTACCTGGTTACTCTGTGAGCCTCCCTTTCCTTTGATGGAACCCCACCTCTGAAAAGTGATCGTCTCTCTTGAGCTTGCGTATCTCACACGTTTGATGAGATGCATCTGTCAAATAATAGATCTGAAAGTGTCTCATCAATTCTAAAACAGCAAACGTGGAAAGATCTTTTTTTTTTAGCAAGTCATCTTTGAGTAGCTCTGTTTCTATGATTTTCTTTTTTTTAAATCTTATCCCAAGTGTTTGTGTCTCTTTCCTTTTCACTGTTACCTACAGGGTAAGACACCTCAAGAGAGAGCACAGCAGGCCGGGGACCCGGATTTGGCAGCCTACCTAGAAAGCCGCCAGAACTATAAGATCATTGGCCATGAGGACCTGGAAACTGCTGTTTGACCCTGGTAGACAGGCTGAGAGAATCTGAACGAGCATATCACCTGTGCCCTCCTGGTGATTGGGCAGCTCCCCTGGAAGAAGCTGATGGAATCCATAAATCTGTCTCTCTCCTGCAAGAATCTATCTGAGACCATGCCACCAGTTTTAAGGGCTACCAAGATGTACAACAGAACATGATAGCCCACTGAGGACGAGGCAGGATACCTGGAGATTTGTGGAATACAGATTCCACAAAATTCGATCCTTATTGCTGCCAGCAAGTAGCATGAACTTCTGTGTTCACCTGTATAATTTATTTTAAAGATTCAAGGATGTTTGTATAAATGGCACTGCTCCCTCCGCCCCCTATGCATTCACCTTTCCCCCGTACCGCACAATTCTCCTGTAATGACCCATCAATTTAAAAAATATGATATGATCGGTTCTCTTTACATTCAGCCTTTGGAGACCAGAAGACTCTGAAGGTCTTTTCAAACCCTCTGGCTGTCCTGCAAAAATATAACCGTCAGACCGCTTCCATTTCCACGACTCAACATACCGAGACTACTTAGTGACCTTTGCATGTCTCCTCTCCCCCTCCTTAATCCCTTTTCGTTATACAGGAGCTGGGAAGTGCCACAGAAATAATGTCAGCTTGTGTGCAATATCTCTGAGGCGTGGCAAGGTGGCATGGGAGTTGTCTGGGCTCAGAGGTACCTCAGAGAGGGGACCCAGGGGTCAACCCAGGTGGCAGGGCTGTTGCCGAGAGCCACGGAGGACCGGTTCAGCTTGGGCTGTTGGTCCAGCTCCGTACTGCCTACATGTAGCCATCTTTGCCTTTTGCTGCAATAGAGATGAGCAATGGATTCAACAAAGGCCCACAGCTAGTTTGCAGAACCACTCAATTTTAAGTGCTGCTGAAATTGCAGAGCAGAAAACCATGTGTGGGAACTGTGGTTACAGGAAATGGAGCGCTACGACAGCGTTTACTTTTAGGCTTTTTTGACTGATAATAGAAAGCAGGCTAATCGACTGGAAATAAAACAGCAAAAGCAAAAGTAGCAACATATGTCAAAATAACTCACTTAAGCAAGAAAACAGTCGCTGGAATGTTGCACAGAGGCTAAAAGATTCAGGTACAGTGGTGAGAGGGGGCCCATTTTAGGTTTTCCTTCTAAGGTTTTGGTTTTCATTACCCCAAGTAAGCCTTGTCCCAAGGACAAAGCCTTGTTTTATGAGTTCCACTGCCAGATTTCCGAGATGCCTGGATCTTTCTGATGGATGCCTCACCTGCTACTACTTGTCAGGTTCCAAGGTCATACCTGATAGCACTATAGCCCCATAGCTCATGTACAGGGTGGTCAAATATATTCTTTTTTTCTGTTTCCCCTACCAGAATGTTCTTAGTGCAGACTACTGTGGGAGTCTAGCCAGGAACATCTTGCTGGCAGTAGAATTACAGCTTCTAATCCTGCCACGGATCATTGGTACTTACAGGCACCTCTATTAAGGACTCTATGATAACTAAAGTATCAGGAGAAAAAGTCTTCTTTCACTGAAAAGATCTACTTGACTTGGGTATAAGGCAAAAGTGAAAGTGGGTGACCTTTTTGCTTTAAACTAAATCGATGTCTTCTGAGCTTCTTCCATTTAGTTCTTAGACATAAAGTGTTTCCCTAGTGTTTCTGCATGTAAACATAAATGACTGTCTCTCTACATTTAATTTAAAGCTCCAGCGGTGATGCCTTGCTTGTCTGAACCACTTTTGGTCACGTATCATTTTGAAAGTACAAAGATGATATATACTGGATTAGGCTGGAATAGCCTCTCAGTGGATGGGGTCTAAGTCTGTCCTTAGTTGTTTCAAAGTCAAATGGTTGGCGTTATTTCCAGCTGTGGGAGAATGGGTTGGTCGTGAGTAATCTATTTCCATATATCAGTCTTAGAAATGGAACTATGTTTTGGGTTTTCTGGTGAGGGCAAAAGGGACTGGAGTAGATTATTTCCAGAAGCTAGAAGAAAGAAAAAAGCTCCAGGAGAATTTGATCACTGGGCTTCTGCTGGGAGTTTTCCAGTTGGTGGGACTGTCAAGGAGATGTTGTGATGACAGACATATAATCCTTATGACAGACTGGAATCTGGCTTTGAATGGTGCCTTCCATTCCCTAGATTGAGCCAAGCACTTGGCTCTGCAGCCAGTTACCAGCTGCCATTGCTGGGATGAAGGACTCTGCTTTCACCAACTACCGTCTCATATTTCTCTGGTATGCTTCAAAGCGGCCCAGAGAAAATTGAGGGTACAGGTGGCTATGGGCCAATTCAAATAGCTCCAACTGAAGTCATACGTAAATCCTTGATATGGAAATAGATGAGGTAATGACTACTGTAGGGGTCCTGGTGCATTTGGAAATTCTTCCAAAGCAAAAAAAGAAAGACATTAATGTCCTATGTTATTGATGGGGAATGACATAGGACCAAGGCAAACACCCAGAGAACTTAGGTTTTACAAAAAAAAAAAAAAGCATCAAAAATGATCAGAACAGTGACCTATTTAATGGCTTCAACATTAAATCTACCTCCTGTAGCTTTTTTTTAAAAATTTGCCACTGCATGTGACAGTCCTGGGCTTTAGAAAGAGCAAAGAGAATGTACTCAGGAGTTTCCAACTCAGCTTAGGGTAGGTAGTATCCCCTCTAATGGGCCATCGGGAAGTATAGAAGCAACAGTCTGGCCCTGGTCTGAAAATCCACATTACTTTAAGAGACATAAAACTATATACCTATAGAAATACAATTTTCTACAAAACCAACTGAGATGGTACTGCCAAGAGTAGCTAGCTTAGCTGCCAATCCTCTGTGTTTGGCTCAGAAGAGCCTTCCATGTCGTGGCACTGTCTGCTCTGGGATTCCATTTTTAGATTAGACTGATAGAGGCATGAGAAATGGAGAGTTATTAAAAGCCAACATTATATAACCTTAAAGGCAGTCATTTGTGCAGCCTTATATTCCAGTATTACACGTTTAATGAAAAAGAACCCAGTTGAGCTATGCTTGATCACATTCAAGGACTTGATAAAGAACAGAAGCCAGGAATGAAATAAACACCACAGCCGGGAATGTCACTTGGAGAGTTTTGGTTACCTCTGTAGAGGTTATGACCTAAAATGAATGCAATTTCTGAAACAGAGAATTTAGCTGGCAAGTACACAGCCATGAAACTAGTGACAGATGCTGGAAAGCCTCACATTACCCGTTGTTCCCCATCCTTCCATCCTAGCTGGCCTTAGTGCGTAGGCAGATCCGTTTGCATTGAGACATACTCAACAAGTAGGTAGTTTTCATTTAGACCTAGTAACAGTTTCTTTGCCTAAAGGATTTCTGGAATTTATTGACTAGACTCCTCACAATATCCATGTCTTAGAAAATGTGGGTGCAGCAGTTTTATTTTTTTACATGTCATTTTTATTTTAAATGCTTAGATTTTTAAATTATAAAAGTAGAACGTGCTTTTTATAAGAAGTTCTAGTACCACAGAAGAGTATCACATGCAAAGTCAAGCTGTCCCTCTCTGCTGGTGTAGTGTCCTCTGTCCCGCCCCCCAAGATAAACAGCGGGAATATCGATAAACATTGTTGCTTGTATGTTATGTCAGAAATACTCTGTGCATATACAAGCCCCAATACACATAGAGGAATGCATTTATTTGTATACATATATGTGTATATGTCCTATACACACATATTGCATAGGTTTAAGAAAACATTTTAGAAGCATGCTAGTCATCTGTGCCTGTGTAGTTAACACCAACAGACAAAGATAAGGTAACAGAAATTTTTCATTTATTCTTTGTTATTTTTACTGTTACTAAGCTTAGTTCTATTACTGGAGCACTCCAATCGCACATGGCATTTGCTCTTGCCTGTGTCATAAAATCTATGGCCAAGAGGTCTTGTAATTGTTTTTGTTACCTTCCATGAAGCATGAAACCTACCTGAGCCCAGAGACTTGTTTATGCTATTTGTGGATCTCAAGTGGAGAGTTCCGTCCTCTGTGATGCTTAGACCCCTTTACGAGGCTGAGTTACAGGATTCACTCAGTAGGCTGCCTAATGATGTCTACTTCTGGTAAGCTACCGCGAAAAGCCATAGTAACTTGGATATGGGTGCGGTCTGAGTAGCTAGGCTTCCTTCTAGTAGGAGTAGCTAATGAAATCACTGAGAACAGCATGATATTTTATGCAATTATGCTATTTAAAAATAAAATAGATGGTTGTTAAACTGGCTTGTCATAACCATCCAATAAAACTACTAATTGCTCTACTTAAATGGATTATTTTCATTTTAGGGGGAAAAAGTAGAATGTCCATTAGAGAGTTTTCTAATTAACATTTATTTAGTAATAAAATAACTTCTGCCCAGGTCTTAGTAGAACCATCTCTGAATATCTCAACTTTCTTATTCTCTAAATGCCATTCAGCTGATTTTTATAAGTCCTATGGTTTTTCCTCTGCCCAGCCTCTCAGACTGACTTTGGCTCCACCCCTTTTCTGTGTCCTGGTCATCACCCCATAGCTAGTCCCTCTGATTGTCTGCCCATGGCAACTGTCCTGCTCCTGGACTTTCTGCCACTACCTTCAATGACTCTGAAATACAGTTGTCCGTCTCCCCCAGATGTTATGCTCAAAATGGATCAAAATGAAATTCCTCTCTGGGACAAGTATCCCTTTTTCCTGAAGGACAAAGAGACTTCCACTGACCTTGATCAGCTTGTATATTTACAACAGCCCTTATTCTGAGAAGTAATCTCCCAGATCGATTTAGCAAATTTCTGTCATAGTCACACCACAAAAGTACCCAATCGTAGCAGCTGCTTCCACACCCAGCGATGTAAACAGTGCACTCCACGGAGTCACCTGGGTGACTGGATTATACGCACGTTATACCCCTACTGGCAGTCTGTGGATTCTAGACCATCTCCCCACAGTTTAGTAAGAAACCTAAAAATAGGAACTAAGCAAGGAATAGTGCTCCTGACAATGTGCTTGCCCAGGACACCAAGAGTTACTGAACTGGTCGCCCCCCAAAAAAAGCAGAAAAAATAATTCTTAGGCTGTTGAAGCATTACATTTTAAAGCAGAGATTTGAATATTGGATGGTATCGTCATGGTGGACAGATTCTAGAGTCTCTTTATACATGCATTCATTCATTTCACCTGCAATCATCTGTTCACAGAATTGATCACACAATCATGTATTTAATCATTTATTGTGAAATATGTTTATCATTTACTCTGATGCAGGCACCGTACCAAGAATATAAGAATGAACGCAAGAGACAAAACTCCTGACCTCATGGAGCTCAGTCTAGGAGAACATACAAATTCCAATCTGATAAGTTCTGTACAGGAGAAGCCCATGGTACTAGGGGAGCATGCCCTGCAGGTCAGCTTTTGTTGTACCATCGTTCTTTAGCTAGCCGTATTTTAGTTCTATGAAACGAGAATATGAAAGAAGAAATAGTTCGCATTCGCTTTTCCTTAGGGTCTTGGCACTGTTCTTAAAAAATGGATTTGAAACCAAGACTTTAAGATGAGACTTAGAAACACGACTAAAATGAGAGCCAAAACTGTTTATCCTATTTCTCAAGGACAGAAGTAGGAACAAGAGGCAGAACTTGCAGTGGATTTTGACCGAATATAAAGGTGAAGCATAAATATCGTCCAACAGCAGAGTGGGCCCAGAATTAGAAACTCGTAGTCATGGGGAGTGTTTAAGCAGAGGCTACATGACCACCTGGAGGGGTGTTGTGACTCGGGACATGAACCTGAGGGGGCTGGATTAGATTCTGGGAGTTTTTTAAACGTTCTTTTAAAATGACTTTGTTGAATGGCAGGGTTTCATTTTAAAATTTTATAAAAATCTTGACTTTAAATCTTTTAAAACATTACTTTGTAACAGAGTCTCTAAAGAGGATGACATTTAGTTATCATCTAAAAATCTCAAAACTAAGCATGAATTTAAGAGCTAATGAAAAGAAAGCATACTAAGAGGTATAAGTTACTCCAGAACACTTCCGGAAGCATTATGGATTTTCATGAATATTCTTAGACATTCTTAAGTCCTATTACAAATCTGTTTTACTATCCATTCAATATAAAAAAGTGCTGTGATTTGATATTCTTAGAATTAAATGTAATCTGGAATAACCACAGAAGAAAATTCTGCCTAAAATATATTTGGGGTCCAAGTAAATGTAATTGAAAGGCAACCATGGAAAGTGCCTTGGCTTCTGCTACTGGCATGATAATTACAAGGGAGGGTTTACCCATGGAAATGAGAAAGCGATGATTCTGGGTTTTACCCATTTTCCATAGTTTCAGTATTTTGAGCCAAATGGCATCTGACATGGGAGACTTTAGTGATGGGAACAACTGAAACTATCTTGTTTCTCAATCATTTAGTGCATATAGGCTTCAATAAAAATAATTTCAACAACTCAAATCTGTACAATTTATTAGTAACAATTTCGGTAATTTTAGACTGTTACTGCTTTAGCATTTTGATGCATTTTTGACACTTTTGAGCTTCAGTACAAAGCCCTGAGGTGGATAATGCAGATAGTGCATTTGAAATGAATAAATGGAATCTCAGAGCAATGAATTCAACTAACACAGATGCATGTAGTAAGTGGCAGAACTACAGCACAACTGAGATCTTTAGATATTACCGACTAACGTGTCTACAATAGATGTTTTCCACCATTGGTGATTTTCCACCATTGCTTGCAATGCTACTTTACATCCATCATTCAGTTTTCCATTATTTAGAAGGTGAATCCTTGAAAAAATATTTACCTAAGATTCCACAGCGTGGGTTGGTTAGGACTGAGGGAGAATATGGTGTGAAAAATTTAGGATTTTTGCTCTCAGACGCTTATCAGCTTGGAAATATTTCAAGGGGAAAAAAAGGGCAAATATTTTGGTACTGGGATGGATTTCACGAAATAACACTGAAGGGGCCTTCCTGGCTTCTCTACTTTGTGATTCTCAGCATTTAAAAATGTTGGTATTATTTTCTCTCCTTGGAAGCCACTATTGGAATAATATTATTACAGAACGCTGCACCAGAAAGTGTTGAAATGGTCTTGCCATTCAAGGTCCCATTGCTTGACGTTTGGGGTGGGTATACAAGGCTAAATCCATCATACACAGTCACATACGCAGAGGTCTAATGCACCTATGGGAAGATGCCACGCTTGAGGTAGAAAGAACGGACAGGCCTGAGATATCCTTCTGTTCTGAACCTTGTATTTACAAGGCCCCTCTGTGAGCAGTTTGATGAATACGTAGAAGAGGGGTGTTTGATCTGGGAAGCAGCCGAATTTGGATTGGGAATAGGAACGTTTGGAGGAGATGTGGCTTAACTAGGACTGCGAGGTTCAAGTTCTGTAGGGCGGACAGTTTGCAGAAGAAAACAAGGACAGACCAGATCACAACAGACAGGGAGAGGAGGCGCTTTATTTCTTATGTAAGGGTTTCGTTTTCCCTAAACACTACATCCAGAAAAGTGGATTGGGCTTTCCAACAGTGAACTTATCGCAGCGAGTATTTCTTCTAGTATGTAAGTGAAAATTGAACAACCAGATCAGGGATCATGTTAAAGCAAACTGCTTGGACTAAAAGACATCTGTGATGTTTTCCAGGTTTTGATTTCTGTGATTTTGGACTGGGGCAGAACTCAGCCAGAGCCCCTTTTCTCAGGTTCCTGCCGTATAGATGCAATGAAAGCGTTTTTGTAAAAACAGCAGACATTGTAAATATATCCCAGATCATTTAGAAACCGGTATTTCATGACCCTAAAAGAAATCTGCTTTGCTTACACACACATACACCCACCACTGTTTGCCAATTCCCAAATCTCCTGAATAAGATATGTTTCTACAAAGGCATAACAGTCACAAGTTCAGGAACTGAAGTGAAAACAAAGGATCTAGTGTTCAGTTTCCTACTTTCTACCCATTTTTTGTTTGGGGTGTGCAGTTGGGACTGGGGCTTGGAGAAGGGGGCAGAAGATTCCTGTATTTTCTGGTACAAAAAACATGGAGGCAATTTTTATAACCTACTGTCATGAATTAGAGCTCAACCTCATATCCCTAGACTAATGTTCTGTGATGTTTCTGCCTGTGAACTAGTGTTAATTGCCATCCTTCCCTTACTTCCATGAGCTCCTAGATTCCAGGTTGGCTGCATGGGGGTGGGAGTCATTCTTGAGGTCGCCTTGAAAAGCGGGCCCATATCTGGAGTCTCGCTCAGGGAACTGCTCCACCCCACCTTGTCCCCCGCCCCTCCTGCCTCTATCTCGGGAAGGTGAGAAAAAACAGTAATGGGGGAAAAAATTCTCAAGTGTAGTATAATAATAAGGCTCTTAGTCTTAAATTGCCATAGTGACCCACAAATAAATAATATGTCCCTCAGCAAACTTTGATCCTCATGAAAAGCAAATTCAGAAGATACAGAAAAAAAGTGAACTTGTTTAGAGTGGCTTCAAGGAGTATCAGTTGTGAAATTTTCAACATATGCTGCTTAGAAGAATTAGATTATGTCTGGAATTTAGGGGAAAACAGGACTCTGCTAATAGAAAGCACTTTCTAGTAGAGCTTTCCAAAGGACTGGCTTGATTTTGAAGGAGTTTCTCTAAGTGTTCATTAGGAGGTTAGACCACAGACTTATGCAGATCTATGATAAAATTTGAGAAAAATAAGGACAACTTAGGAAGTTTTTCATAATCCTTACAAATTCTGAGACTATATAACCTTTCCTCTTAAGAATTACAGAGATAGGAGATGTTTACAAATTGTAAAAATAAACAGATGACAGCCATAAATTGGTTTATCCTATATTTTGCTTTAAATTTATGAGTAATTTCTCTCCAATAGGTTAGTGAGATTTATCAACTTTTAAGATAGAGTTTAGCTTTGATATTTACTGCAACTTGTGTAATGAATCCAAATGGTTCCCAACCTTTTGGGTTTTATTAACAGTAACATCTTCCATCCCCTGCCCCCCTCCTCCATTGGTTGGACTGAGGCTTTGATGACATGTATAATTTCCAGTGCAACTGGAACCTAGATTGATGCTTGCTAACATCCTGATTGTGGGCTGGGAAGTGTGGGGTTCTTGCCATCCTGGGGAGTGAGATTTGGAAATTTTATAGACAAAATATTCTAGCACAATAGAATATTTTGCAAAACACATCTTTGATAAGTTAGGGTTCACATTAGTCTCAGTTAAAGGTTAGCTAGGCTGTTTGTTTCTTTTTAATTACCAATAATTAAGTTGACAGCCATGAATCTGCGTATTATATGGACTACAGCTGATTGAAAATGAGGAAAACCCTTCCTGTAAAGAAATAGAGGACAATCTCAGTTCCATAAGAATGAATATATTTCAGTTAATTTGATTCCTGAGTGGGAAAAAGTTCCTGGGCACCCACAGTGCCCTTGCCTGTGGGTAGTCCACTCTCAAAGGCTGTATCTGTAGGAAGAGTTGCAGTCACATTATAAAGGGCTCTTTCATAATTTCTGATTCTGCCCTATCACATCCCAGAGCCATGCTTTTGCAAAGCTGCCAGCTGGCAGGTGGAATCCAAAAAAGAGTAGCATCTGTGGCAGGAGGATGATGAAGTTTTATTTCCAGGTGAAGTAGGATCCAGATAATATGAAATGGAGGGAGGGTGGGTGGGAAGGGTGGGGTGGGGAAGAATGGAGTTTTTTTGTAACAAAGTCATAAAGTATTTTTCCCTAATTTTCTTGCATTTCCTATTTATACAAAGTATCTTGATCACTGTGTTGCTCTACAGAGATTTTCAATGGAATTAATTTGGGAGACTGAACTAATCTCTGAAAAAGAAATGACTAGTTACAGTTACTTTTTGGACACTTTTTCTGTATTGTGAATTGTGTGGAAATGTATAGAATAAAAATTAGAACTACAATTAGTTTCTTTTCTTTGGTTACTGGCTGTTACATGGAGTTGGTGTGAATATTATCTTTTAGGGGGTTAAGTTAGGTTTTCAAAATTGGGAGGTAAGCAAAGAGTTGGCTGTCTGGGAAGGCAGAAACTAAAAGAGACCTCTGATAAATCAGAAATTTTTTAAAAAATGACTTCTGCTTTCAAGATGGACTAACAGAGGCCAGATTTACTCTCCCAACTGAATAAAAAAAACATTCTGTATATAAAACAATAATTGTTAAGACACTGGAACTCAGGCAAAAAAAGACAATAATCCCTGGTTGATGAGAATCAAATAAGATGAGCTCTATGATTTCTCCATTTCACAGACTTCAGAGAGTTTCCTGGCAGTAGCTCAGGGAGGGGAAATTGAGGGAGAGCCTGGCAGATTTCCTGAGTTGGGGAGACAGAGCTGAGCGCTTGGGAGACCAAGGCAGCTAGAGCTCATGGCGCCCAGTATTAGAGAAGAGAGATCTGAACAGAGAGATAACCCCAGAGATCTGCAGAGACCCCCCACTCAATTAGTCAGTAAAATAGTTATCAGTGTTTGCTAGTGAGGAAACTACCTGAGACTGGAGAAAGAACCACCCAAATTGATGAGGAACAGTAACCAGCTCACACAAGGCTGGGAATAATGCCTGTTACTGTCTACCCAGCTTTTATTTCTTAACAAAACATTACAGTCTCCTGTGTTGTCCCACTTCAGTTCCATTTCCTGCCACTCTCTGGTCACAGAGGCAACCAAGAAGATTTTGTGTGAATCTTAGCACATTCCCATCTTTTCTCCCTTCTTCCCCTTCTCAACTTCTGTTAACTATATTCCCTGTTACAGATGTAAACTTTTATACCCTGTCTGGTACCGGTATTAGAAGTTCTATGTGTTGTCCAATTTTATCCTAAGAGTTGGAAGCAGGGGCATGGAGTGTCACTAGCCTGGCATGTTAGTATGCACTGCAGAGGGTCATAGTGTGTGACAATCACACTTTCCTGAAACCACTCAAGACCATGACCCCAATGCCAGTGAAAGTCAATGTTCCTTCATCTGGATCAAAGAATTTCACTTTTCTGACTTTTTTTGGATCGCTCTGCCTTCATATTTAGACTCTTTGATTTTGTTTTTATGAATTTCTTTCTCTTGGTGTTCATTATTTATCTCTGTTCTTGTTGAAAGATAAAACACACACATACACACATAATTTTTAAAAAATACATCCCTAGTATCATGTAGCTCCCTGATATTTCTTGGAATCCATTCCATTCTTTCTCGTGAAGGCATCCTTCTCAGAGTCCACTGGCTTCCTGTTCTAATTCTGATGAACTGACCAATTATCTCCTTAGGATGTTCTCCTTCTGGCTTCTGCATTTGTCTTGTCACTTCTTGATGCCCACATGTATCTTAGTTTCTTGGTGTGCTGAAGTATAGCCACAAATTGCTTATTAAAACTAGGAACTAGGGA